CTCATATGCACGGATTGATGAGGTTTTGTTTGGTTTGTGTGGTGCAGATGAAACATGATAAACTTGGCCAGATTATTAAAGGCTGGGTGGTCACAGTTGGAGAAATGCTGTTTTGTTTGGTTTTGGGGGCTATTTTAGAGCTGCTGTCTGTAAAGGAGCTGGGCTAAGGGCAGTTCAGCTGTAATGGCATCAGTGCGGACCACATCCTGGTAATTACGTGCAGCAATTTGGATTTAATTTCTTCAAATGCTGCAGCAGGAGGAAACGCTTGAGATTAAAGATTACGGTTTCCCTGCAGGTCCGCTGGGATGGAGCAGAATGAGCCGGAATGGGCGAGAAATCCCCCTGAATGAAGCCAGAGCATGCATGGAGTCATCAACATTGCGTTGATTGGGGGGGGCTTGGAGGTTCACGGGTGGTGGGGGGCGGCCGTGTTGTGGTTTCCCTTGGGCTCCGGCTGACTATTGGGTTATCGGAGTGTCAAATCCATCTGTGCCCACCCCTCGCATCCCAGAAAGCTTTGCTCCTGTGTGACCCACTTCTGAGAGAACATTGCTAAAGACTTGACTACTCTCAGAGGAGTGAGAAAAAATGAGAGCAGAGGAAGGTAAAAATACGACAGCAAGAGTAAACTGACACAGAAGCCCGACCACACTGTGTCCAAACTAACAAGGGCGCTTAGATGTGAATGAGGGGTCAAGCTCAATCCATGTTATCAAGCTCATCAGGTCTAAAGGAGCCCACTCACACACAGATCGGTTCTGCTCCTATCACATGACGCCTCCTATACTCTCTCTCAATTGAGCCCCTCTGCCATCTGTGCTGGGAAACCTGAACCCACTGCCCCACCTGCTGTTTACCCCCAGCCTCCATCCACCGAAGACATCATGTATACACCTCCTTTCCATCCCTACTGTCTTCTTTCACTTGCTCATGCTCTAGTATCCATCTTGCTCTCCTCTGCTGTCCCATGCAGAGTAACCTATGAGATTAAATATCGAAAAAATAGGCGCATATTTAATCAGGCAAAAAACAACCATTCAGATGTGAGTGGGCTGTTTGACTAACATACTAAACCATCATCACACTTTGCTTGATTTTATTTGATATTTAGGGGATGATAATAAATAATGATCTTTAAAAAAGCATCATATGACCCCTTTAAACACATTTCTTGAAACTATGCCTCATATTCTGTACAGTAAACACAAATCATAACGTCTCACCCAATTCCCCAAACATCCTATTTTCAGGTCAAAATGAAGCTCTACACTCAAAACCATTCACTCTTGCTGAAAAACCAAACTTTGGCCTAATACATCACACACAAGCCCTCAAAAACACACACTCTACAACATAGTCTTACACACTGGTGAGATAAATTCAAAACAATACTACAAAAAACAAAAACCAGTAATAAGTTATGTTGCTTGTGGTTCTCCCCCTTTAGGATCTTTTCACATAATGAACACATGCACAACCCCTTTAAACACATTTCTTGAAACTATGCCTCATATTCTGTACAGTAAACACAAATCATAACGTCTCACCCAATTCCCCAAACATCCTATTTTCAGGTCAAAATGAAGCTCTACACTCAAAACCATTCACTCTTGCTGAAAAACCAAACTTTGGCCTAATACATCACACACAAGCCCTCAAAAACACACACTCTACAACATAGTCTTACACACTGGTGAGATAAATTCAAAACAATACTACAAAAACAAAAACCAGTAATAAGTTATGTTGCTTGTGGTTCTCCCCCTTTAGGATCTTTTCACATAATGAACACATGCACATTTTTTTATTCCTTAATGTACTGTACAGTACAATACACCAAACAACAACAAAAAATATTCTGCCCCAGCATCACATCTTTGTTCTGGGTCAGGCCAGAGAATCTCGTCATCATCACAGGCTATACTGGCCCTAGCTAGGCAGCGGGGGGAAATCCTCTTGCATAGTCAGGCTTTTTCCATTCCATCGTCTCTGTGTCCTACAAAAATAGAAGTACTGATTACTCTAACTGTAACATCCTTTTTACTAAATGGAAGCAGACAGAAACTCTATCTGTATGTAAGGCAATTTGATGCATGTGTTGTAACAGAGTACAGCACACAAAAGTTACAGTAGAGTACACTGAGGTACACCTACCTGTTTTCCTCCCTGGAGGTTCTTATGATCGAGGCGACGGTGAGGCAACTTAAGTTTGGCTGAACTCATTGCCCAGCCTCCCTCATAGTCATACCATGGACAAGGACATGGTCAACTATTGGCACGAATTTCATCTGAGACTCCTTGTCTCCTTGCCCCTCATCCTC